AAAATAATCATTTAAATAATTCTTAAAATTATACTAAAAATAATAAAAATTATACCTAAATCATTTTCCTATTACCCAGCGGACGCGCGTGTCAGGCCGACAAAAACAACACAGCATGGCCCCTAAAGCACTCCAACGGAAAGCAACCCAGTCAGCCTAAATACATCATTTCAGGATTCTCTAAAAGCAACAACACAGCATCTTCGTAGTATTAGCAATGGCAATTTTCTCGAAAGTTCTTTCCAAAATTGACGTAGAGGGAAGGCTGTCGCTCACTCTGGATGATAACGAGGCAGCGTTGCCACCGTCCTTGGGAGAACAGCCCGTGCTTTTGCAGGTGAAGGATGAGGATGGAGGTCTGTGGAGCTTCCGGCGGTGTACAATATTAAAGAGATCTGGGATTCGTCCCAAACTGTTAATTGACGATTCGCGTCAGTTTGTTCGTAGTCGAGGTCTGAACATTGGCGATGAGATTAATCTTTTCTGGGAAGATGATAGAGCTTCCGGCCGACGTGATCGTCAGCACAAGATTGAAGTGATCAGGAAGAATCGTGTTTCGAATCATTGATGTATATAAACCAACTGAGGATAGATCAGTACGTATTCCAATTAATCTCAAATTTTCAATTGCTTTTTTCCTTTTTCCTTTTCTATTTGCAGCAAGTACATTTGTTTTTGCCATGGGTTATTGGTGTTATTAGCTCTCAGGTATTATATTTATTATGTTTGGATGGATTTCAAACATTATCTTATTAGTGGATGTATCATGTTTGGTTGAATTTATTGGGCTAAGAACTCTTTAGAACAAAGTTCATTCCTATTTAACCGTAGAGATGGTCACGTTTCTCTAAAATGAGAAGCGGTGAAACGTTTTGTAAATCAAATCTAATACTTGATTTTCTTTAAATAGTTACTAATTTAACATTGTATTTTTTCCTGTAAAAAAAAAAAAAAAAAACTCTTATGGATCCTTAAAAACTCAAACCCTCAAGTTGTTTATATACTAGAATGATCTACAATTTTTCACCAATTTGTAATTTGAGGCTGTACAACTTCTTTGGAAAGGGGAACTTCTTTTGCTTTCTTACTTTTTCCATCTCAAACGAGCCATCTTGATCTTGTTATGTAAATTGTTATAATCTTTTGCCTATTTCACCTAAGTTTGCGACATTTATCTTGAATTCTTCTCTCTTTTTAATCATTCTTATTGGGTACATAAGTCCAAGCATATGCATTATATATTATATTTTTAGGAAAATATGTTTTTGGGTCTAAATGGCATTAAAAAGAGCAGTTTGTATCGTAAAGGTGCCCATGCAACCTTAATGAATACATGGTTGATTACTTGCGGTTATGCTGGTATTTTCAAAACCCACTACAGTCAATTTTTTTTGCTTCTCTCTTGTTCTGATTTCTTCATTTTCAGCTCCATACTTCCAACTCCAAGCTCTTAATTTCATATGTCAAGCACCCAATTTCATCTACAGAGTCAGTTTACAAGAATCATAGCTCCTTTACAAAACAGGGAAACTTTTAAGTCATTCTATTAGGGTCCTTTTCTGTAAAAAAGTAATGTTTGCTAAGTTGGTCTCCTTAGTAACTTAAACAAAGCTCTGCCTGAGAAATATCGTTAGATGGCCGCTGGAAACCCTATTTGGCCATACATTTGGCAAAGACAAAAGTCTCAAGTGTGAATAAAACAATTAGTAAAAAAAATTTTATAGATGAATGGAATGGACATATACCTCAGGTTTTAACATCACATAATTCCTCTATGTACAGAAATGTGGCTGGAGGGCCGAGAAACTTACAATATTCTTCGACCTTTCAATCTTGCCGAGCATTCCTTTCCTCAAATTCTTTATTTGGTTCGTGAGACAAATATGAGAATAATTGGAAGATAAATTATCAAAAAGCGATTCCATTTCTGGCGATGTTGATTCTCATCCCAGAAAATTGTGCATCTGCTTGCTTACTGATGCCAATGGGAGAACAATGATATTTGAAGTGGAGATGTTGATGCAGTGTCACTTTGACCTAGAACCATTTAATTGGAGAAAAAGAAATGTTTACTCCCGATTCAAATAGCCATTTATGAAATAAAGGATTGCGATGTGGTATATAAATTTCAACCTAGGGTTAGTATTGTGACAAAATGAGTTCATACCATGCAAGAATCAGGAAAAGGTTAATCATGTGTCAGCAACCAAACTTTGAAATCGCTGTAGCCGTCGTAGTCTGACTGAACAGCCATTTGAAACTTTAGGTTGGGACGAGCTGTTTTGATGCAAAGGTCTCCCTGCTTTTGCCCTAAATAAATAATCTTCTGTATCTAAAACGTATGAGACCTACCATACAAAAATTTTCAAAAAAATCAGATCTCTAAGCTGACATCAATCAAAATGACCAGAAAGGAATTTCTAAAATTATAAACCTTGGATGAATTGGAAGCAATCTTGCACTCCAAACCGTTGACCACTTTAAGTCCTTCCATGGCTTGGCATGTAGCAGAAAATTCATCACCACCTACATATCTGCATTTAGACCTGTACACATCACTCATTATAATAAGTAATCAGGGCTCCATGGAATAAAAAAATAACCAGCTTTGCCTATTGTTTATGTACCGCTTCAGGAAAATCCCAGCCTTCTCTTTTTCCTCTGGAACAACTGAGAGGAAGTCATTATGCAGATAAGCTGCAAAATTAGGGTCTATGGAAACTGCTGTCACTTCGGGCTTATCGTGCCCATGGTCCATAAGCTGAATACTGAGACGTGTTGGTGTGAACAACTGCAGTCAGAGTTGAATACAATATATGGGGTTAATGAAAGAATTTTCCAATGACAATATTCACAATAATAATACAAGCGAAGCATCAAAGAATAAAAACGAAAGAAAGACAACCAAAGGACTTACACATTCAATACGATATATACTCTCATCATAAAGGAGAACTCGTGCATTTTCATGATAAACAACATCAACAAATCTTCCAGGCTTTCTAGATTTCTCATACGCATATAGTTGGAGAAGTTTGTTGTCCATCTCATCACTTGCAATGGCTTGAAGCTATTGCCAAGACCACAAACATACATAGTTGAGATAAAACAGAAAAGAAAGATGTATTTCAAAAGAAATAAACGAGAATCCACTATTCTTACCTGTTTGACAAGTTTATATATCAGCTTATCCAGTGTGAATAGAACATATGACTGAGTTCCAATAATAGCTCGGCAGTCATCCTCAAACTTCGTATTATCAGAAGAGCCATCAAGCAAATTGTAAAGTGCACTCATGAACCTTTGCCACATAAAAAGGTATTAAACATGCACTGACCACTTTAAAGTTGACTGAAATGATAAGAAAGTCCATTAAACATGCACTGACCACTTTAAAGTTACCTGGAATAAAGATTAGTTGGGCTAGGGTCATTTGAGCCCCTCCATTTTTTATCTGAAGATGATGAATTGATCTTCGCTGATTGAATTCTCTCATATAGTGTCTGTTGAAAAGGTTATATTAAGTTAATCAAAACAACATAGAGCAAAATTCCGTAAAGATTAAATAAACAAGAGGATCCTTACTTGGTGAAGCCTAAAAAGCACATAAAACGAATCATTTCCATAAAAAATCTGAGAATCCCATTTTTTGTCATGTGATGCTTGCAGGACACGCTTTGCTAGTGGCTTCACGGTTAGTAGGAAGCGTTCAGAACAGGGTAACAGAGTTCCATCTCCTTCAACATCATTTGCATCAGCCATCCCTTCAGCCTCACCTTCACTCTCAGCCTTATTATCATTCTCATCGTGGTCCATATCTTCCTCCTGCTCTTCCCTTGAGCAATCCTCACCATCACCAGACTCACTGCCAGAAACCTCAACATTCTCTGAGGCATTTTCACTATCCTCAGATGATCTCTGAGCACTCTCCTCACCTTCATCATCAGCATCAGCGTCATTTTCACCCCCACCCCCTCCACCACATATTTCTTCCTCTCCATGGCTTTTATATTGCCTGTTTAGAGCACCATCCTTCACTTTGGGTACAGTGTTCAGACCAGCTTCTCCATAAACCGCAAAATTATCTTCCTCAAAATCTCCATTTGGAGACAGTTCACCTTCCTCCCTCTCAACTTTAAATTGGCCAGCAGATTCTTCATTACATCTGTCACTTTTGGCACCTTCTGTCATCACCCTATTTGTGGATATGATTGATCTAGAACAATCACCACCCTGTAGTACAAAAAATTTTCAGTATAATGTGAAATTTAGCTGCTTGGAACCAAAAACACAAGTCAAGATTGAGAAACATAAACAAAGGAGAAATAAAACGAAAATTGAAAATTGGTTTTAGAAAAGTGATAGAAAAGTTATCAATATACTCTCAGTTTAACTATGACATTTCATCATTTTATGTTATTTTTTATTTACAAATCAGAAGCTAAGTTTGCCATTACTAACTCAGTGATGATCTAAATGGTAGCTGGAATAGAAAGGCACAAAACCATGACAATATAATGAAATGAGTTGAATCACTATCAAGGGATACAGAGGCTTCATGGGTCAGTCTGACCAAATGATACCTATCTTTTAAAATGCCAAACTGAAAGCAAACATTGCTTACTTACAGTCTCTTATCCAATACAAATTTATGGAACTGGATGTTAGTGAAATGAACAGAAAAGGCACAAAAAGAATGCATTCCCTATTTCCTAACTAAAAAATGAATTAATAACAATAAGGGAATCAGTTTAGAATGTACCTCCAATGTAGGCAAATTTTCATTACTTGACTTCAGCCCAAGCCCACCCTCAACAGGACCATCGCAAGGTCTCAAAGCTGCCGCACCAAGACCTAGCAACACAAAACATATTTCAATATTCTGGCCATGATTTAAGAAAAAAGAAACAGAAGACTAACAGGCATTGCAATATATTTAGACCTGAAGCACTTTCTACGTTAATAGACATTTTTTCCAGTCCAGCTGCAACTGCAAGGGATGCACTTGGATTGATTGATTGCTCATCGGAACTGGCTTGTTTGCTGGACCCTATTGCATTTGCTTGAATTTTATCTTGCTGAGGAGCATCAGACACGTTATTGGTCTTGTGAGAAATATGATCTGCATCAACAACAGAGCCATCTTCTTTAATCTCACTATCTCCATTCAGCATCCAAGACCGGCTAGAACTTGATTGCTCAGGTTGGATGCTTTCATCTCCATTTTTGCAAGGATTTGAATGTTTGGAATTCACAACAGTAGCACCACCACCATGGCTTCCCTCACTCTCACCAAAGGTAGAAGAACCATTTTTGTTCTTAGCCTTCACAACATCTTCAGTGTCCTCTGCACCCTGAGGTCGAGAAGGAAGACCAAGCACAGGTTCCAAGAATGTAGTCCATATTTTCATCACTTTATCCAACTGTTCGGTAGTACACATTTCTCCACAAGAATATTTGATGAGCTGATACAAATCTTCATGAATTTCAGGATCAGTGTACTCAAACTCCATATTTGGAATAATAGGCCGTCTGTTTCCAGCCGCTATAGAAAGAAGCACATCATCTTCTTTGCGCTTCTTTTCACTGATTTCTTTTATCTCTGCCAATAAGGCTGTAATATTGAAAATGGACAGTGTGAATCAATGCCACAGGAAAACTGGAGATTTTATAACAAGTGTCAAAACGTATTTAATGTGCTGGGATATGTAAAGCCATTTTGCATCTTTGTAATATTTATCCAAGTATCTGCTTTCTGTTGGACAGCCCAAACAGCTAGATAAACCACATGAGGGCAGAGTTACAAATGGATTTCCAGTAAAGGAGAAGCAAAGCAGATCAATGCAATTTCTCCTAGGATTGGGAAGAACAACAGTGGGGGAAGACGATAATAAATGAATACTTTTTCAAGACTGCACTTTGATTACAATGACAGCACAAAGCATTCTGCTTTATATTTATGGTAACTTTCATAGGATTATTAAATATTTCATGGTAGTAATGCATTGCAAGATATAGGATACAACACTATTATCATGACAAACACTAATATACTCAGTTTTCAAGTTGTATATACCTTTTGTGCTCAGGTTCTTTGAATCTTGTTGCTTGAAATAGAAGCTACGATGATCAAGTGACTTATGGTAGTTCTTAGAATAAATTTCAGCCCAAACTTTATTAAAATCAGCCCGACACCTTGCCCATTCCTCTTGTTTCTGCTTCAAGCGGGTTAATATAACTGGCAATGCTAAAGGAGCATTCTTTCTTAATACATCCATTACATCAAGTCCATGGTCACCATACAAACGCTCAATGCACCTTAGATTGAGAGCTGTATGATAGACGAAAAAAGAATCAGGTAAAAGGAAAAGCACAGGCAAGAATAATAACCTAATATGTTATCCAGTATCGTTCAGCTCATAACCTGTGAAGTGGTCCTCGATATGAATTGGACAGTCTACTTTGATTGTATTATTGTTAATCTTTTCCAAAAGTTCTTCCACTTGCTTGGTTGTTACATTCACTGACTCTAACAACATGTCAAGCTCAAACCTACAATATAAAACCAGGATATCAGTAATTTCCAAGACTGATGTATTTTAAGTTAACAATTTTACAACTACTTGATTCCATGAGACAAAGATATCACATTCCTTGTACCAAAAAAAAAAAACATTGCCAAGTAGGGAGGCTACTGCATGAAAATGAGCTAAACTTGACCTAAACAATCACCATAAACTCAAATCATGTAAATAGTAAGACAAAGTGTGAGGACATAATCCAAAGAAAAGATCTCGGGAAAGGTCCAACCTATCATCTTCACATCGAAACAGGCTTTCTTCATATTGGTTCTTACGCATGTGTTTGAAGGAGTAGTCCTCACTTCCTGAAGTGACAGATACCCAATGATCATTGAGTACTTCAGCACCAAGCTCTGTTCTTTGGCTTGCAATAGGTGTTGGATACTGAATGACAATAAGAGAAGAACAAACAATTAGACAATAATAAGAGAACCAATGCATCCTTCAAAGCATGGTGACACTACTGAATGACAAGCAAAAAAATGCTTACATTTTTTGGGAGAAGCCGATAACTTGGAGTACATTGTTCACAATTAGAGAGGTCAAGTTCATTAATGGGTTTCGCCTTGCTAGAAAACAAAGAAATCTTGTGACTTCCTACATCTTTATTTCCAAAGGAGCCTCTATCAAGCCTATCCCTTTCTCGAATTTCAAGGTCTCTATCTTTTATATCATCATCTTTTTCACGATCTCGATCTCTATCCTCTGCCTTCACTGATCTGGGTAAATGCCCTTCGTTCCACAAGGACTCTGCAACCAAAACAGTTTGGTGAGAACCTTAAATTGAATGTGATTAGATCAAGTTGGGTATTTTATGCATCTACAGATGCTGTCAAGTATGCACGTATTATAGTGGTGATTTTATGATCAGCTAGGAGATACACATAACTTAAAGCTAAAAAGAAGGAAAGAGATAGTTATACTTACTTTTACTCACAAAGCCAGCAAGTAATCCCTCTGTAAAACAACAGTCAATTAGATTTAATATGACAGTTCAGAACCAGATCAGCAAACTTGAAACGGTTGTCACAAAGGATTACCATTCTTCTCACATCGCACCAAAAATTCATTGAATGCATCCATAAGATCTGAATATTTTCCCAGCAAATCACTCACCTAACACAAACAAAATTTTCCACAACATATTCCAATTAGTGTCCTGAAAGAACAGTCAAAATGAATATCTGTCAAGCCTCAAGGACACTAAACTACAGTTAACAGGTCAGACATTATATTATCATGCCAAAACTGTGTGAATCATAAATGGTCAGTTTGAAAAGCTTCTGAAAGTTAGGCCATGCCATGAATTTCTCTCAGCTGACATACAATATTAACTTTTAGTGCAAGCTTATATAAATATTAGTAAATCGACCAAAGTAAGATATTTCTTTGAGCCATACCAAAGATTGCAATTGTGATCTTGTTATTACTTCATTGCTATAGAGATGAAGGCACCTCAGGAATTCCTGATAATGATCAGGACTTTGCAACTTCTCCTTCACTCTTTCACAGAAAGCAAGCTCCTGACTATACATACCTGGCATGGCCAAACACAGGGTCAAAGAAGAAATGGGAAAAATGAATGGAGCCCAAAAGTATAAATAAATATGAAAAATAACATAATAGAAAAAAGTTGCACATAAGCATGCTGCTAGAAACCTATAGAAAAGGGCCGGGGGGGTGGGTTCAGCAACTGGTTTCCACAATCCCAAAACCTTGATTTACAAAAAGGCATTGGCATTCATACAGTCATTTTAAGTGCAATTACATTCGTATTTTCCATCAATAGCCTACCCTTTTTTAGTTTCTCACAATTTAATGGGACAGATAGTCAAACCATCAACAATAGTAGTACATAAATGTTAATTTGGGAAGTTGAGAACTCACTTTTGACAGCATTTTTATCATCATGAGAAGCACGCATTCCAAAGTTTTCATCACCTTCACCACTTTGATGCAACTGCTCAACAGCCGAATCTACAAACCTTTTTGTTTTGAATGGAAACTGTTGCATGTCTCTGTTGCCATCACGCTCAAAGTCTTGATCATCCTGTTCTCTCTCCTTCCTATCTTCACCACGCCTCCTTTGCTCTTTGACTAATTTCATCATGAGCCTATCATGGTCCGGATGAGGACGTTCAGCACTGAGGTCATGGTCAGCATGGGAAACTGTAGCCCTTTCTTTCTGTCAAACATGCTCATAAACCAAATATTAGCTCGATCGCAGATAGATTATCAGATTTAAGAAGGATAAGAGTGGAAGAAACCTTTTCAGCTTGCAATGGCCGCATTGTAGGCACAGCAGATCCATGGTCTTGTGGTATAGATGTTCTACCAGAGGGCACATAATGAGTAGAGGCTGTTGCTGAGGAATCCGGCAGAAAGTGAGTGAATTCCTTAAGTAGATCTGAGTGGTCTTGGAAAAGCAAGGCAACCTACAAGGAATTGCAGTTTATAACAATCAAAAGCACTACAAATTGAAGCCTATTACCCTAAAAAGGTAAAGGGAATAAAAAAGTCTGAAGTGTGTAGCAGAAAACAGAGAAGTAGAAAAATAAAACAATATTTGACTAACATACCTCCTGGTAGACTTCAGTGATGGACTTGTTTTCCTTTCTGTACATGTTCAAAATGTCTAAAAATGACTTATAAACACGGTCATCACCTTGAAACCTTGTCTGCAGCAATACCGTATGAAATTACAACACTTAAAAGCCAACATAGCACCTCACAGTCATATATAATACAATATTTCTACCTTAATCTTGTTCACAAAATTAATAGCTTCTTCAAATTCAACAGGCTTCTTTTGTGGAGGTTGTTCATCCTCAAATGGGAGGGTGATTTCATATCCCTTTGGCAAAAAGGTATTGAAACCCAAAATCAGATCTTGATTCCCTTTAAACAGTTCCTTAACCCTTGCTATGACACCTGCAGTATCAACTCTGTAATAAATATATCATCAGCATAAATCAGACACAGTTTCACATAAACACAACCAGTAAAGGAGAAAGAATGCATGATGACCAAACCTTTGAGCCTTAAAATCTTTCATTACTTCAAGAAAGTCATCGTATTTTTCCCTTTTATCTTGAAATATTTCCTTAACTCTCTTGAGATATGCCAAGGCATCGTTTGTTGTTAGTTTCTGTGCAGCACCTCCTCCTCCTCCCATCATTTGGGGTTGCCCAGACCTTCATAATCAAACCACATTATGAGATTTAAAAATCTTTCAACTAGATCACCACATGTATTTCCACATAAAATTAGAAATTAAGCTAACATTTTTCAGTAGATAAACACTTTGATCATCTTTATCTTTGAACATAATTGAACCTTGTCCTAAAAGACATTCTTCCATAGAATACAAACTTGTAATGTGTGCATACTGCAATAAATATAGTTTCTATTTTTGATATCTATATATACCTTAATACCTTATCAAACTTCCAACAGATTTAAGAACAAATATCCGATCTTTTTTCAGAGGTCAAACACAAAACGATAACAACTTAACTTTGAAACAACCCAACACCAAAAAGAAGAAGAATCAGAAAATTAACAAATAAAACGCTAATCAAGTTCAAAAAAGAGACAAATTTTCAGAAAATAGTCACAAGCGTATTGATTAAGAGCTTAATCTCATTCTTAATCAGAAAATTAAAACAAGATATAAATAAACTTACGTTTCCCCTCGAGAAGAAACCATAGGTCTCTTAAGTTGAGAAGAGATGTAGACGTCGTCTCTGGACCTCTTCATCTCCCCCAGCAATCAAAAAACCTCTTTATCTTTTCTCTTCAACAACAAATCATGCTTCCAAACTTCCTGCAATCGCAAGAACTCAATCATTCAAACAATACCGACGAACACAAAGCAGATCTAACCACTGGAAAAGCTTCAGAAATTATAAAACACAGAATTTCATCATCACCGGCAAACAGATCACCTTGCGAATTACAACCGAAATTCCCCAGTGATTCACATTACTTGCATATGAAGGCACGTGAAACAGACAACTAGAAGCGGAATTAACAATCGTTCACTTTCCGGATTGCCGGAAAATTTAAAAAGTCTTCCGAAACAAGCTATTCCGAGCAGCAAAAAAAAAAAAAAATCAAACCGAAAATTGAAAAAAACTCTTTCCAGATGTGTTTGGGAAGGATTTCGTGAAGCGTAACTAGATTCGGACAAGGAAAACGATGAATTAAAACACAAACGAGGTTCAATTTTCTTTCTGATTTTCTCGAGAAAGAAGCAGGAGAGAATGCTGTTTGTTTGAAGAGAGAAAAAGAGTTTAGAATGTGATATGAATTCACGGAAGGGAAAAAAATGAAGCGTAAGAGACGGCTGGAGATAGTAATTTGGACGGCCGTTAGCCGGTGGACTAGTCGATGGGTTACCGGTTATAGGCAGTTGCGAAATGGGTTTACAAAATTAGGGCAGTGTTTAGGTATTTTAAAAAAAAATTAGGGATTTTAAAAATAAAAATTATTTTTTAGCAGATTGAGAGCGCAATTAGCACGGCCTGATTAGGAAAGGGTCAAGGAGAACACGGTAGTGGCATTGTCGTAAATAATTAAGAGTTGAAGGGCAAATTAGGAAATTAAATATTAAGGGTGAGGCTATGATGTGATGAATCATGAAAAGGTGGGGATGGTTGGATTCGGTGGAGAAAATCATGCATCTTATAAGTTGTGTTATTTATTTATTGGGTGTGAAATTGTGTATTTAAATGTACAAGATTACTGATTAATGATGTCAATTATGGGTTATATTGTCTAAGGTTTAAAGTCAGGATTGTTTTGTGGCAATGTTTGATGTGATGACACTGTGGTTGGTTTGGTGATGTGTTTAGTAGTGGTTGTTAGCAAAATTGAAAGTGTTTTGATTTTGTTGTATGTATGATAATGATGATAAAGATGATGAAGGAGATCAAAGTTAGATTTAACCAAAGTGAAGCAGAAGATAAAGTTACCAACTTAAAAAGGATAGAGATCAAAAGGGTATTTTTCAAATTTTAATCAGATTTTATCTTGAAAATACAAATGAAGTAATTTTAAGAATTGGATCATGTATGTATAGTTTTGTTAAATTTAGAGTTTAAGTATTTAAAGTGTATATAAGAGAATTAATTTATTTAAATGCACTATATTGATGTGAGGATATACTCTTAAAATTGCTTAAAGAATGATTAGTTAAGTTGTATAAAAATTGGTTTCAGGAATAACCTAATCCAAATAAAAAATAAAAAAAAATAAAAAAAAAAAGGGAATGATTAATGGATTTGGAATGGTTATGGAGTGGATTTGGGCTGGGCTGGGTTACAGTGCCAGCATAGGAATAGAGTTGTTTTTTCTGGGTCAACAATATATTGAGCCTAGTGAGATGAAATTTCATTTTCGGTTTTACTTACATCTGGGCATAATTGCACTTGAATGGGTATCTAATTATGGGCTTAATGGGGGTTACGGAGCATGGCTGATTTGCTAGTTACAGGATCATTTGACCATTTTCCTGGACAACATTTTTTTTTCTGATGGATTCCTGGACGAGATTTTGGTTGGTGATTTCATTAAAGAGACTAGCTTATGCTGTCAAGCCCAGTTAGCTGGACTCTCTTAACAGGACAATAAACTTCATCCTTGGAGGTGATGAAAATTTCCTCCTTTTTGCGTCTGCTTATTTTTTATTTTTATTTTTTAAAAAATTCCTTATTCTCGCAGCATGTGCAGTTAGATCATACAGCTAAGCTCAATGGTAGGCACAGAAAAAAAAAGAAAAAAAAAAAAGAAAGGGAAAACTGAGATTTCAACTTTTAAAGCATGCCAAATTGGCAATAGTTTTTAATATAGAAGTATCTAATAACAAAAATAAAAACAAAAAAACTGTCACATCAGGGCATTTGGTCTAGTGGTATGATTCTCGCTTAGGGTGCGAGAGGTCCCGAGTTCAATTCTCGGAATGCCCCATTTTTTTTTGCTTCCCCCCTCCTCCTCCCCTCTGTCAGCAAACTTAACATACTTCCATTTAATGCCCTATTGAATTGTAGCTAGAGAAAGTACTTGACAAAGAGTTCTGCTTCCTAAACTCAACTCATCTAACAAAAAACTGGTTATCACATGAGGGGATTGGGTCTAAAGCTATGGTTTTCGCTTAGGGTGCGAGAGGTTTGAGTTCAATTTGCATAATGCCCTCATTACCTATTTTCAAAAAAAAAAAAAAAATTGCATATTGCCCCTTCTTTCCATTTTCCTCCCCCTTGTCACCAGACGTGACATACTACCATTTAATGCCCTATTGAATTGCAGCTAGAGAAAGAAGAACTTGACAAAAAATTCTGCTTCCTACAAGAAATTAAGAACAAACTATGGTATCCTCAAAAAATTTGAAAATTCTGTCTTGTTTCTACCAAATGATTCTCAAACTTAACGCCTTTTTCATAATAATTTACTTCATAATCTTTTTGCTCATCTTTGAATTTTCCTTACACATTCATCAATCAAAATTGAGAGTGATAAAATGTCAAAATCATCATATATTCTTGAGTTGGTAAGCTCACCTTGCCTACCTAACCCCCAACTTCACGACACAAAAAGACATCTTAAATTATTCAAATTCTTTTCTTTGTCTACAATCATACATTGGACCAATCATTAACATTTCAACATCTTTAACACTGTTTGAAAATTATCAGGTACTGAAACATTTTCGAATTTTCATGCCATCACTCTAAGCTTCATCACCTCAAATGATTGCTAAGAAACTAAAATAACAAAACCGACACAATATAGAGATCTAATTTTTTTTTTCTTTTTTCTTTTGCTACATTTGATGACGAATTGTACTAAGACATAAATTTTCATTTTTTTTTTTAAATCTCTTCTTATCCATTTTTAATTTTAATAATTTATAATCTCAAGTTTTTAGTAATTGAGATACCCTTAAAGGCATTTAATTTTTTTTTCTTTTTCTAGTGATTTGAATACAAAGTTTTCACCTAAAAATGAAAATGAAGCCAAAATCCAGACCCATAATTGCTCTGCAACTTCCATGTGAAAACATGGTAATGGGGCAGAGCCGCCCTGCTAGCAAGAATGGACCTACCACTTAATTTTAGGCCATTTTTAACTCTACATAAGACACAGTGCCTCAATCATCCACATAATAATGGAGATCAAGACCCCAATTATTTCTTTTCATTAGGATTTTCTCAATGTTCTAACTTCTAAATCCCGGCTACAAAGGACATGATACTTGATTTTTTTTTTAATGCTTTAAATATTGGTTCAAGTATTTGGTTAGTAGAGCTGAGTTGAATAAGTTCATAACTTAAAATTTTATATTTGATTATTTTTTTTTTTTTGAACAGCATATTTGATTAATTTAAGACATGTCAAGTTAGCTTAGATCTTACAATCTCAAGAGTTGCAAGGTCGGAAAAAGAATTAAATTAAATTAACCATCTTCCTCTTTGGTAGGTCAACATGTTCATAGTACATTAAGAGAGACGTGCTCCATTATTACTCTGCCTAAGGACACAATATTGCCATCTTTGTTTAGTCATTTCTTTACATAGTGTACAATTTGTATAGAGACAACACGTGTTTTATCATCTAAGTATTGGGGTTATGACAGTCTTAATTAAATCAATAGAGATCTGAATTCAATGGAAACGGATTTATCTTTCATTAATATAGAACACAAGCTCCTCAAAATCTTAGTCATGTCCTCTTGTGATATATCTTTGTTCAGTCATTTTATAAAGAATCGTGAACAATATATATAAATTAATCAAAATAATATAGTTATAATATCATATAATATTATAAATTTATAATATAATAATTTATTATATAAATAATTTTTTTATTTAATAATTCATCTGTTATATTATATATATTTATTCATTTAATAATATATCATGATTATAAACTTACAATTCTACATGATATTATAATTATAGTATTATCTATAAGTGTGACATGACACTCTTAATTCAGCCTACAAGTCTTAAAATGATGGAATGGACCTAACTCTCGTTTGATATAGAAAACGATTTCCTCATATCTGTGTCATGAAACTATTCGCTGTGTTGTTTCATTGATTTGGTACAGTATAGAGATTAGAGAGCGCGTGGATTCATTAGTTTGGCTATCTTAAAGATAGAATGTAAGGGTCCAAGGAACATTGACAAGGAAACCTGAGAAGATCTATGGATTTAGGATCACACAAATCGGTCCAAGCGCAGACCGACACGTTCCAATGAGACAATGTTCTTGCGGGGATGACACGGCTATAATTTAATTTATTATTACTCTGCAGAAGAAATAAGTAAACGCCATGCTGAAACTGTTTTATTTTCTTCATCTTCAAGTTGTGCATGTGGGAGTGTCTCCTTGGAAGGAAAATAAGTACGCATGGAAATGAATACGAAGGACAATGGAGCAATTCAATGGTTTTGGTCAGGATTTCGGCCTCCTCATGTGAACTGTCTCGCAAATTGTAACCCACTTAGGACAAAGCTTGTTATATGTGCTCTGTCTCTTGGTCAAATGGCATATGGATTGATCATCGGCCCCAAACCCCCAGTATCTATCAACTCCCCACATTTCTTAATGTCTTCTTTTTTCGTCTTGTAGATGTATAAATACTAATTCGATTGTGTTTTTGTTGATATGTAAACTTTTTTTCTTCCATTTGTAACAAAGAAAAACTACAATCGACGTTTAATAGATACCGGATTTTCCTGTGTTCTTGGAAGAGAATGGCAGTTTCTAGAAGTTAAGGTAGAGAAAATATGCAAATATGAAGTGGTTGAACCGTTCTTTTGTCCTAAACTATTCCCCCTCTTTCTTAAGATGTAAAAAGGATTCTGCAAGATCCTTTCCCAGTTTCCCTAACATAATTAGATAGGAAAAGGTCGGATTATCTTAGACCCAATTAAAAATTACTCTGACTTACATCTGTCTGGAAGGGGAGCAACCAAGATTACACCCAACAAGTGAATTGTATAAATCAGCACATTGCATGTTCCTTCATATTTTTCTAGCTTGTTTGTTACACCATTTTTCAAATTAATTTTTGGTAACCACTTTATACATTTATCACCACGATCGCTTTTACATATTTCTAACGTGAGTTTTTTCTCGAGTTGTCAGATGTTGTTGTGTCCTTTTAATTGCTTTAACCATAAGAAGCAAAGTTCCTTTTCTGGGGGCAAATCCATGTCGCATTACAAAGGGTGTGCCTATATATCTTCACAACAACTTTGCATTTAAAGAGCAAGACCTATCTACAAATATCCTACATCGTAACTTAAAATTTAACAATTTTAT